GTGCATTAAAATGCATTAGATTGGGAGTAAAGGACAAAATTAGGCTACGTGGTGAAAAGCATGTAAATAAGTTGTCAGGAGAGAAAAGGGTAAAGTTTATTTTCACTTGAAAATGACACTCTTTGACCAGCCAATCCTCTTCTTCTAGACGCCCTACACTGCCAACTAACATATTAAATACTCCTTGTTAATTTGACCGTCCCCTAGGCTCTCACTAGATATTTGAAACGGACTAAATCCATCAAATTGTACCGCATTAAACTGATTTTTAGATTTTTTAAAGAAATTATATATTTTTATATAAATTTATAATCGCACCGATAATTAATATAAATTTTTTATTTTGTAAAAATAAATTAAAAAAATATTGAATCGTACCGAATAAATTTTACATATGAAAAATATATTTAGTATATAATAAGTTTAAAAATAATAATGAAATAAATTTTTCTTTGGGCTTTGGAATTATGAAAACTGTTACAAGCCAACAAGTAATTAAACTAAAAATATCAATTTCTAAAACATATTATGCTACTTCTACTTAAACTAAGTTATTTCAAGTATCTTCGTTAGCAAGACACAAAGTATTTTATCGATTATGAGTATCAAACTATAATGTATTGAATATGTTTCCTTTCATATAATTTAGATTTATCTTTTTGAATATTTAATCTTCTATAGATTTTATTCTTGAGTCCCAACTTAGTTAGTATCTTTTTACTCGTGTAATTTATATTATTTTTGTCTTTGCTTGGTTTCTTTTACGTTGTTGTAGAATAGTTGATGCACTTATACTCTATCCATCTTTCATTTTTTTAATTCATCACCATTTAAACAGTAAAAATATCTAGAGAGTTTTGCCAAGTCCTATAAAAGAACATATGTTATTGCATTCTACTTCTACTGGTGAATTTTACATGATATTTAAAAAAATACCGAAAACTAATTGAACTGTACCGTTACCGAATAGAAACCGGCATGATTGGACGGTTTCAAAAAGTCTAATTTTGGTTATACATAATAGAATAATCAAAAAATTGGTATGGTACAAATTTTAAAAAATAACCGGCCGACCCGAACCATTGACACCCCTACTTATAACTATTGAATACTAATTACTATAAACATTTAAAAAAATATATAATGAACAAAACATTTTTTTTTTTGGTGCAAGGTAAGCTATCAACTTTAATGTATGTTAAAAAAATTAAAATTATATTCCTTCATAGTTAAGATAATAACAATCCAAATAGTTTCCACGCAATTTTTTTCTTTGTTGCTTTCACCTCTTATTTATCATAGTTATTAACCATTCATCTCGACAAATTTATATATTTGTTAAACGTTATACAATCAAGATGCAGCTAGTTTTTGAAAAAGGTGACGGGTGATTTGAGACAAATCACCACTCAAATTAATAGCCCGTTTGACCAAGTTTTTTTGGGGGCAAAAGTGTTTTTTTGGTCAAAGTTACTTTTTAAAAAAAATTAAGGTATTTGACCAAGCATTTAGAAGTAAGAAATGCTTTTGAGAAAAAAACAGAAGCAGCTTTCGAAAAGTAGAAAAAATAGCTTCTCTTCAAAAGTATTTTTGAGAAAAAAAACACATAGAAGTAATTTTTAAAAGTTTGGCCAAACATTAATTACTGCTCAAAAGTATTTTTCAAATTAATTTACCGTACAAATTATTTATCACCAAAAGCAATTTTTTGAAAAATATTTTTAAGAAAATTACTTTTTCAAAATAAGTCGATTTTAGAAGCTTGGCCAGGTTATAGACCTTAAACTTGAAGAACTGAGGTTTCTATAACAAGTGAAACAAACATCCTTGAATCATGATGGTGACAAAGAAAGGTTAAACTCCTTCCAATAATTAAAAAAACATTTTGCTTTTTCTGAATACTTTTAATGGTGGAAAGATACTTGAAGCTTATCCAATGTATGCTTTTATAAACCATATATATAAATAACTTCTTTACAGTATGAAATAAAGATTTGAAAAGAAGAAGAAAAAGGGAAACACAAAACAAAAGGAGGAGTGGGTGTGGTGGTAAAAGTATTGGGCTTGTCAAAACTTCAGCAGCCAATCGGAATCCTCAAAAACATATGGGCTTAATTTAGGAAGAATTAACTCAAATAGCCGTTCACCCAATCACTTAAACTAAAAATAGCCAATAGAAGTATAATATATGTATTATA